CCTAGTGTCAACAATATTAGAATCGCTTAGTCATGGATCTATAGAAGAAATATATGAACGTTGATCACAAACTTCGAAGTAATTAAAAAAGAAAATAATTTTTTTTAAACGTCAACAAAAATCATCAGTAAATATTTCTAAACAAAAAAGTAACGTCTCTTGTATCTCTTATGATTTGTGAGAGTTTGTTTATTTGTCATCTACACGATCACTTTCTAAAAAAGAACTATGACATGGCAAATTTGTATTGAATTTTTCTACTTTAAATTTAATTTAATCATAACAATATTTCTTTAAATAAATTTACATTTATTTCCTTAAGTAAATTTACTATATTTTACTATATTTTTCAAATTAAAATTTGGTTATAATTGTTTTTGTCACAATATCTTTTTTTTTTGTAAAAATATTTATTATGTTTTTTTTTGTAAAAATATTTTATTATGTTTTGTGACAAAATATTCCCAAATTTATAAAACCCATGCGTATGTACAATATTTCCAAATTTATAAAACTTATATATATATATATTTTTTCTCAAATTTTTTTTTCAAAATAAAAATATTTGAAAATGAAAAAAATATGAGTTATTCCTCCCTTCTCGGGGAGAGATCTACTCCACTTTCCTCCCCTTTGCGGGAGAGATCTATTCCATTTTCTTTCCTTTGCGGGAAGATAAATTTTATGTCTTGTGCCCTTTTCATGAAATGTGTTATATTCTCGGATTTGATGTTGAGGAAAACTTTCAATATACTCACCGCATTGTCATCTTGTGTAGCGGTCTCTACGAGATTTGAAAATGCAACCGGATTCGTGTCAACAAATATTGGAGGTGGGGGTTGGTATTCAACTGTCTAATTTTTAACATTCCGGTGTTGTCGTGAAAAATCTATCGACGCATTTGAGCTTTGTCTCTAATTTGTTGTCAAATCTACTTTGAAGTTGTATCTACTTCAGTTTTGTTATGGTTTATTGTAATCGAAGAGGATGCTTTTCCCTCGATCCTTTGTAGTCCGGAAGATTAAGTAATGAAATTAAAGTTTGCCCAAAAATAATTGGTTAACCCAAAAACAAAAAAAAAGATTACACAATTGATGGCGAATTGGAATATAAATATCTCCTTAAATTAATGATTTTATTATTAGAAACAAATTTATTGGGCTGAAAATTAGGCCCATTGAAACCCTCGACGAGCGATACGCGTACACCACACAAGCGCCACGTGCTTCACTCTCCTTCCATCTTCTTCCTCCTTTTGTACCAAAATCAATCACAAAGCAAAGACCTTAAAAAACTTGCTCAATAAGAAAAATCAAAATCGAAGCACCGAAACAACCGACTCAGATCCAACTCTCCGATCAACCGTTCCCGGCGGCGAGAACGAAACAATGGCTCTGGAATGGGTTGTGTTAGGCTACGCAGCGGCGGCTGAAGCAATCATGGTGATCCTCTTGACGATGCCTGGACTCGACGCTCTCCGCAAAGGATTGATCGCCGTAACTCGTAATCTCTTGAAACCGTTCCTCTCGATTATCCCTTTTTGTCTCTTCCTCTTAATGGATATCTATTGGAAGTACGAAACTCGACCTTCCTGCGACGGCGATTCGTGTACTCCTTCCGAGCATCTCCGTCACCAGAAATCGATCATGAAGTCCCAGCGTAACGCGCTTTTAATCGCATCTGCTCTTGTTTTCTACTGGATTTTGTACTCCGTCACCAATCTCGTCGTCAGGATCGAACAGCTTAACCAGCGAGTCGAGAGGCTTAGGAACAACAGGGGTTGAGCCAAGCTAAGCTTCTTCAGGTGCTTTTTAGTGTTTTTCTACTTATGAATTTCGATGTGAAAGAGTCTCTAAATCTTATGATCGTTAGGTTTTTCTTCTCTCTGCTCTTTGTCTTCATGAGATTGAAAGGATCTATGCTACTTCA